GCTAAACTGGGAAGATGGAAAAGCATCTTGGAAAAGGAAAATGACAAACCATTTCCATATCGCTGCTGGGTCAAAGGAGACTATGTTTTACTAGGAAAAGAGAGATCAGATCAATTGATTTGCTGGTGAAAAGGCAAATACCTTCAAAGAACAGAGTTCCATATACAATCTCCTTTCTTCAGTGTAGGATTTCACTATTGAACAACTGAATTTGTTATTTTTCCAGACCACATAAGAAGCCAGGATAGTTGGGTCAGTCAAGAGGAAAAGAAAAAACACACACACACCCCATCCATATTAAGGCAATACTTGATTACAACAACTAGATGCCTGCAAACCACTTTCAATTATGTAAGCTAGGGCACATCGAGGTTTATACAGTAGCAACACAATTTTCCTCTCCCCCTCAACACCCAATATACAACCTTTTTTCAGAGTTTAATATGATGAAGAAAGCTTGCAAGCAATTTTTAAACTTTGAATTAGCTTAATAAAATACTGGATTTTGAATGTTATTTTCTAATGGCCAACATTTCTATTTTTGCTTTTTTAAAATGTGATATGGACTGGATTTCATATTAAGTCATGCAGATAACAGTGGCACTGTATTTACAACCATCCATTAGAGAGAGGAAAGATCACATATTGCATTCTTCTCCTTGGTTACATCCAATGATTGAAGATCGTCAGCTGCATAATTACTAAAAACACTGTGTAAAGTCTTGGGGCACTTTAAAAGCTAACAATTTATTCTGTCATAAATGTTTGTGGATAATAATTCATCAGATGCCTGATGTAGTCCTGTGGTCTGTGAAACCTTATGTTATAAGAGCTTTTAAGATGCCACAAGAAACTCTGTTGGCTTTACTACAATAGACGAACACAGTTATTCCTCCAGAAATACTTTCTAATGAGATATACAAGTATTTGTTTTCAATGAGATAGATATATGAAATGATCTAATAAGGCCCAACCCCTTTTCCTTCACATGCATCCACCAAGTTTCACCTAACCCATGGAAAAAGTTCATGTTCACTGTTCCCCTCTGCATGATCATTCTTGGTTCTCTCTTCATCCATTACATTGGAGGCAAAGGGAGTGATCTTCTCCAGCGACAGATCTGTCTCATACTCCACATGAATAATGGCTGACAAAACAGTTGCACTGTTATCATGAGATGATTGGGAGACCTTGTCAAACACGAGATCATCACCCTCCCCTTGAAGAGTTATAGCATGAGGGAGAAGGTGTGGGTAACTTAAGGTCCCAAGGTCTTTCTGGCAGGTGGTGTCATGATGGTATGAAACCAGCTCATTGCTGAAGTTTACTGTCTCCACAGCATTGCTGGGACACAAGCGACCACAGCCCAAGATGGCTGCAAAAGCCCTCCGGAAGTCAGCATTGAAGGCATAGATGATTGGATTGAGAGACGAGTTTGCCCAGCCAAACCAGACGAAGATGTTGAAAACTGTATCACTGACGCAGGGCAACTTCCCCAGCTTATGCAGGTTGGGATCACAGAACGGCACAATGCAGTTGAGCACAAAGAAAGGAAGCCAGCAGAAGACAAAAACTCCCATTATGATAGAAAGGGTCTTCAGGACCTTGGTTTCCTTTCTAAAGGAGTTCCTCAAGGAGACCTCATGAGAACACTCACTGCTTTGGCAACTCTGGGCATGTTCCACAGCCCTCTCTAGAGAAGAGATCCTTCGTATCTGTCTCTGAGCAATGCGGAAAATCCGGGTGTAGGTCACTATCATGATGGCAACAGGAATATAGAAACTGATGAATGATGAGGAGATCGCATAGGTTCTGTTGAGGCTGGAGTCGCAATTTCCTTCTGGGATCCAAGTGATGTTGGAGCCTGATTCCTCAGCAGGAAGGAGCTTCCTGGCTTTGTGCCATCTCAGATGGACAGGTATGAATGAGATCAGAACGGAGAGCATCCAAGCCACCCCAATCATGACAAAAGCTACCCGTTGGGTCATCTTCTGTTCATAGCGGAAGGGGCTGGAAATGGCCCAGTAACGGTCCATGCTAATGATGCACAAGTTGAGGATTGATGCTGTGGAACACATGATATCAAAAGCCACCCAAATGTCACAGAAACCACCAAAAGGCCAGAAACCAGCCACTTCAGCAACTGCTTTCCATGGCATCACCAGCACAGCTACCAAGAGATCGGATACAGCCAAGGAGATGACAAAGAAGTTGGTGACCTTGGACCGTAGATGCCTAAATTTGATCACTGCCATGCACACAAGTGTGTTGCCCAGTAAGGTGAAGAGGATGAGAAGCACTAACAAAGCAGCCATAACCACACGCAAGGAAACTTCTGTATTCTCCACTCGGCTTTTCTTAACAAATGTCTCATTAGTCATGTCCGATGCGCCATCTCCTCCTCCTGACAAGTCAAGTTTGTCCATGTCTACCTGTGATCCTTCTGTGCCCATGATGCAGTCTGTGCCATCCACTACATCTTTGCTACTCCAATCGCCACCATGAAGCCCAGCTTCTCCACTTGCATTTCAAAAACAATCACCCCACACTCCCAAAGTGTCCAGGCTTGCAGGAATAGCTTGAGCTGAAAGAAGCAATGTTCAACATTTCACTCCTTTTCAAGACTCCAACAAGCAGCCTGACATTTCCTCCTCCACCACCCTTTGCTTCCCAAGACTGCCACTCGCAGCCAGCCAGTTCTCACCTTCTATACTTTTTGCTGAGAGGATTCTTAGGGCAAGCTCTCCTTCACTCTCTGTTTTCCCCCTTCCCCACAAAGCTCATCAGTTTTGTCTCTGGCTGGCAAGAGTTTAGCAAGATCTCAGTCCATCTTCTGCTGGTTAGGATGGGATAGGGTAGAGTAAGACAGGGAGAGAAAGAGAGAAACCTGGGTTTTCTCCTGTTTTGCTGCCGCTGCTGCTAGAAGCTCTTTCTGCATTTGAGTTCAACTGCTGTTGCTGTATTCCTGCTGGTGCCAACGTGCCAAGATCTCTGCTCAGGTGAGGGTCCTTTCTTACCGCTTTGCATTTCTTTGTTCAAGATTATCAGGGACCTGAGATGAGGTGTCTTCAGCAGAACCCAAGGACTCTCCAAAAAAAAAACAAAAAACCGAGCAAGCAATGGAAGACCAAGCCATTAGAGGAACCACAAGGGTTCAGAGTCTTTGATTCGATATTAAGACAGCAGGATGGAAACTCTAATTCAGTAATGACCCTCTCTTTGAAGCGGGAGAAAATCTGCAGAATGTGGGAGTCAGAAACTGCAGGGGTAAGGAAGGGCTTTTACCTAAACGATTGTCTTTGTTATGCTATGGGGGGAAATATGCAGAATTCAATCATCTCTCTCCTCCCCCCCCCCTTCCCTGCAATCTGAGCACTAAATTATTCTGAAAGGCTCCTCTCAATTACTTCCACTAGAAATATTCATTTTAGTTGAATGAGGAATTCTTTGTTTTTACAGTAATGGGGAATGTATATTTTTGTTACTGTTACTAGGAACTATAAAAAGTACCGAGTCCAACAGCCTGCCAATGGAGGAAATCAGTTGTTACAACGCTTCTAATAGGTGACTAAAAATCTTAAAAATCTTCTTCGCCTTTCAATCCAGCCTGTTTCACTCTCGAGTAGCTTTATTTTAACATCTAATTAAGGCACCTTTTTCTTTTAAGGCAGACCCAGTGGTTCGGGTCTTATGCTCTATAGCCACAGAACCAAATTGGTTTATCGACTATTAGAGTCCCAACTTTTGAACCTGTATGGGAAACTGGCATGCAGTATGCTGTAAAAGAAAACATCTGTTTGTAGCATCATATTTAGTTACAGCAATTCCTTCAGGCTCCACACACATCCCACTGGGATTCATTCAGTGGAACCAGTTACTTTTTTATTAATAGCTGTTTGGTGTCTGGTCATGACCATGGAAGCCATTCTGTGAGTAAGCAAACCTATTACAGCCATTTTGTGAGTGTGCCCAGCCCCCACTCTCAAAGTTCCAGATGTGCCCCTGGCCCAGAACAGTTCCTCACACCTACCATAGTAGCACATTCCCCACATTCCCCTTATATTGTCTTCCATGTTGCTATAAAGAGATCAGAGAAAGAGTTAGGCCAATGCACGTACCTCCTTCTCTACCCCCTTCAGACGTTATTTTTCTCACCCAATTGCCTGAAGAGGGTTTACCACATACAAGTGGGACCTCTTAACACAGTGGTATGGGGTGTCCAGTGGATTAGTCATGCCCCTGCCTCCAAAACATTCCATTCCTGTCCCGTTCCTAACAGCCAGCCAGCGCTCCTGTTCTCATTTTGCTTTGGTGGAGTTTCACATCTTCTTCACCCCCAGTTTTTGAACTTCTAAAAGCCTCCTTGTTCTGTTGAGGCAGTTGACTCCACACCCTGGGCATGGGGGTTTGCCCTGTTGACCATGTAAGCACTGACAATCGTGCCTAAACTTCAGAATAAAGAAAAGGGGGTCTGAAACAACCATCCCCAAATGACCCCATGGCCAGGTTCCCACCACACATGAAACCCTGGATGCAGGAAAACAAGCTACCGTTCCAGTATGGACATCATGTGCTTTGCCAAACCACTGAACCCACTTATGGCTTGATGTGATAATCGAGCATGAAATAGCATCTCAAATTCTACCAAAAGCACAGTGCTTTTCACTGGAAGACATTCACCCAACTGGCTGCCCCATCGACTAAGTAAAGAAATCAAATGATCAACATACGTGAGAACTAGTTCTAAAATCTTGTGGCAGTTGCTGTTTCATTTTAGAAGCGGAGGACGTTTTAAGTCTTCAAAGTCTTAAAGACTTACAGCCTGCTGACACCTGCACATTAAACATCAGCCATACATGGAGCTGTTCTGTGGTCACCCAACAGCTTGTTTTTAAACGAAGCATAGGGGAAGAAAGACAATCAGTGGGGGAAAGATATAGGAAGCTGTTTTGTGCAACAAAAATAGGAGCAAAGGGGTTAACGAGTCCCTTCAGGTCTTTGCAGTCCAGTGGCCAGAAAGGAAAGAAACAGTTTTTAATGTCATTTTTGCTATGGGGAAAGAAGCATACATGAGGTTTGACACTAGTATGCCCCCCCAGTTTATGGCAAAGCTGGAATTTTTGCTAAAATCATTCTCAGTCTATTCCTCCTGGAAGGACGAACCTTTGGGGCTGGAGTAACAATTCAAAATGGGTGGGATTTCAGATCCATAGGCAGTGATAAGTTGGGGAAGGGGAATCTTACTGTTTAAAAAATAACCCTATTTAGGCAGTCATGCCATAGCTTTCTTGCATTTCCTGCCTGATAGGCATTGCACTTTTGATTTTCAGTGGTAGCGGTGACAGGGAACTTCAGGGCCTGGAAGTAGCCCTGAAAATGCTGCTTTTGGACTGTGCCATTCTATCCAGCCAGCATGACTAAAACAAGACTTGGAGCTCATAATGACCTCAATTCAAGTGCATGTACCTTTTCAGATTAATGGCCCATGTTTACTACTAATTTCAGTAGCGGTCCTGCAAGGCTAAACCGTTGCCCTCCCCCAGCTGGGGTTTTAATTGCATGAAACCAGAGATTAAAAAGTGAGCTTCGGAAAACATTTTTTCCACTATGATACCCATTTCCCTCTGTTGCTTGGCTGATCTGCATTCTCCCAAATTTCCCTGTGTGATGAATCGCACATTTAAGACATTGGTTACTCTCCATGCTCTTTGTAGCCTGAGGCAGCATAAATGTCAAGGTTGCAAAACATTTTAACTTAATCTGTTTTCCTCCTGAGCAAGACAGGGCTGAAGTCCGTATTACAGGATTGATGGAAAAGGGAACTGAGCAATCAAACGTAAGACTGTTGGTCTATGACAGTTCACTTCTTGTGTATTTTTTGTTTCAAAAGACTTGAAACCCAAGCATAAATGAATCAAGAATGGGAAAACTTTCTTATAAACCTCATCCTAATTCCTATTCATTTCTTCATAGTTACATCACCCCTCTTTGGGTACTTAGCCCAAGGTGAATGTTAGGAAGGGTGAAAAAGATGAGTGTGTACAAGCTGACTGGTGGTTGCATCAGTCATTTCCAAGTGTTTATTCTTCTAGCTGGCTCTTTTATATTCTTATGCCTGAGAAAATGTCCTGTGGTTATATTCTGGACAGCTCTATTGTTATGTAAATATTGGTCTCTTGCAGTGAAAACCTATCTCTACAGTATCGGTCATCCAACACTAGCCTTTGTTATAAAAATAGATTGTTCCCACAAATCATCTTAACAGTCCATACTTTGTCCAGTTCTCACAGTAGCCTGAAATAAGATCTTATCTATTTCATTCAATTACTGTTCCATCTTTATTGATATATTTCGCCCAGCTCCAGAATCTATCTTGGTTTCACTTAGTGACCCAGCCTTGTTTGTTACTCACATTTAGTTGTATGGGTCTTGCAATATTCCCAGTTTTGCCTCGACCTCATTGCAGTCCTCAAAACTTTCCACTCATTCTTCATTTATCCACTAAAATGGCTACCTATAACTCAATGCTGTTGTTAGCTATAATGTATATGCATGACCCCAAACCTATGGTACCGGTCAATGCTTCTCCTCTATATAAGCCTTCTAACCTCCAGGTTCCTGATTGTTGTTGAAGTCCAGGTTTAATGGGGCTCAAAGCAAGATCTTCCTGGTGAGCAAGGCTTGGTTTATAAAATGCTCTTAAAACCCAGCTTTTAACAAAACACAATTTCTCTGCTCATATAGTATGTTCAGCCCAAACTAACTTTTAGGGTTTAACATAATGGCCTGCTTCAACCAACAGCCTGAGACAATGGCTTGCTTCCTACAACACACTAAAACACAAACTATCCAACTGCATTTTAGCCTAGTCTAGCATTAGAGAGTTTCCTCCATAAAGTTATCAATTTGCTTTGGGATATCATTCAAAGCTCTATGTGGTTTAGACCAAGGATACCATAATGACCAGCTTGGTACCCGATGTTTGTCAAACATCATTTTCTCGTGGGGGTGAGAAAAAGGATTTTCTTTGTGATGACATCCACATTATGCAAGCATTTGCCTTGGTAGTCTTGATCACATTTAATGTATTTATTTATTCATCACATTTATATAATACCTCTTAATGATGTTTTGATAGATGGCAACAACTTTCTGTGTGCACGAGTTTTACAGAGGAGAACACTCTTTGTCTTATTCTTTTGTTTCATTTTGCACACCCGTCTCTTATTTTTACTATGCTATGGTGCTTTGGTTCTGAAGGAAGATTTATTATATTCAGTTTTATTGTATTTTTGAAATTCTGACTATTCATTGTTATCCCTGAGTAATTTAGAAATACCAGGTGGGTGGCCTATACATTTTCACACAAAGAAATAAAATTTGGCCCAATGGTGGCTTAGCAGTTCCCTTTCAGACTTTAACCCAT